TAGGCAACCTTAGTCCTGCCCGTAACGCTTCTTCATACAGTGCGAACTCGCCCGGCTGCACATCTGACGCCCTCTCCTTAGAAGTGGGCATCCTCAACTCTATCTCTACCGGAATTTGGTACTTCCTTCGTATCTCTTCCAACTCCTCCATTGTGAATGTGGATCTATCCGGTTTGGTGTGCCAGTGGTCCGGCTCCACTTGGCTTATCGGCCTAGTGGCCGTGATCATTGTCGTCGTTGTCGGAGGGGCCCGCACGACCTGACCAACCCCCTTCCCCTCCCTCCGCTCCACCCAATATTGTTCCGCCAAGTCCACTGCGTTGTCATCACCCAACGAATCAAGCCTTGCGGCAGACACTTCATTTTTCGGCCATTTCTCTTACGTGTTTATGTATTGCTTCGGACGCGGGCACAAGGAAGTTTGCAAAGTGTTGCAGAGGCGTATCGTACGGGACAAATAAGCTCACTTCAGGGATGTGTTGGTTTTTTGCAAAAAAGTAAGTAAAATGGATAACCCCAAAGGCCTACGGCTTACCCATATTCCAAGGGTAACGATTCAACTTCGCCAGTTTGAAATATTTCAAAAAACTCCTGCCCCTCCCGTTTCACTACCCTATATCACCCCATCCCTTCACTTCGCACTGACGCGTCACCTTCCCCACTAAAGGATTACGCCATGTGTACGACCACAATCCCTACTCCTTTCCTTTCTCTTGTCTTTTCCACATCACGACATCACGTGCTATGCCGCACCTCGAGCCCCGCGCACCGTCATTTCTCCTTCCTACTCGGTCACCCTTAGCGGTTGGACCTCCTCTCAGTCGACCTTCCCACTGGGTCACCCTTAGCGGTCGACCCTCCTTTCAGTCGACTTTCCCATTCAGTTACCCTTAGCGGTCGGACCTCCTCTCAATTGACCTTTCCTCTAGGTCACCCTTTGCGGTCGGCCCTCCTCTCAGTCGACCTTCCCACTGGGTTACCCTTCGCGGTCGGCCCTCCTCTCAATCAACCTTTCCACTGGGTCACCCTTCGCGGTCAGTCCTCCTCTTAGTCAACCTTCCCTCTCGGTCACCCTTCGCGGTCAGCCCTCCCCACGATCGGTCCGTCTACTCGGCCACCCTTCGCGGTCAGCCTTCCCCACGATCAGTCCGTCCATTCGGCCACCCTTTGCGGTCGGCCCTCCTTACGATCGGTCCGTCTACTCGGTCACCCTTTGCGGTCGGCCCTCCTGGTCGGTATCCTCTCCTATCAACATCTCATAACCTCTATCTTCTTTACTATTCCCTTCATTGGTCTGAAGCTGCACTTGGGAATGGGAGACTACTGACATGGATGGACCCATAAAGGACATGACCCATCGCTTAAGGCCCAGTCCATGATTCTCAATATTCTTGAAGCCCAACGTCACACCAAGCACCAATAACATCTAAACACTTGGCAAGTAAAGAGTCAGCCACATCAGTAGACAAAGATCCTACAAAGTTATTGCACCACACATCAACCATTAATGAGGTTCCTTGCAGCATTTATTGAGATAACCCCTCCCCGTCGGAACAAAACGACCTCACCATGAACAAGGCAAGCTAGAACATAAACTTTCGGCCAACGTGACAGGTTAGAAGGGACAAGGAAATGATTAGTAGAGGATATAAGGGGGTTTCGAAGACAAGGCAAAGGTTAAGCTTCTCTATCACTAATCTATCTCTACATTCCATCTCTCTCTTTCTAACTTGCTCGTCGGAGGGTTCGCTAGGGGACTCCTCGTTCCCCGTTGAACTCTTGTGCAGGTCTCTCCGTGGACTTGGTATCTCGGGCACTAGTTTGGGAAGCGTGGATCAAACCGACTTGTTCCGTTTGGAACTCGCTGTATCATCATATAAAAAATAAGATAAATATGTTATTTATATATGTAAAAAATATAAATATAAATAATAGTTAACTATAGATAATACATTTATATAATAGTGGTGGTAGATGTTATTATTTTGGTAAAATATTAACTTTTTTTTAGCATGTCTATATATATATATTATATATAATTGTATAATTAAAATTTTAATTATAATCTTAGTCTCATACGAAAGTATGAATTTATAAATTTTTTGACTCATTAAGGCTCGTGAACAAGTTCGAGCTTGGTTCAAGCTTAAGTCAACTCCGCTCGAACTCGGTTTGTTAAATTCTTATTGAGCTTGAACTTGAGTTTAAACTTATTAAAATCTTAATAAAACAAGTTCAAACATACTAAAATTTTATTCGCCTTGGCTTATTTTCAACCTTACCTATAACCACATATTAGTCACACCCACACAAGTATTGTGTAGAATATTTTATTGAGACAATTACACTGCTAGTGGTATCAGTGCAAGTTAATTACAAGTTAATAAAAATTTTAGGGTAAATTATAAATACACCCCTTGAGATTTGTTTAAAATACGAATTGTCCCATGTAGTTTAGAAAATTACAAATACCTACTTGTTAGAATTTTTTATTTAACAAAATTAATTGAAAAAGTAAAATTTTTAACTGTTCACCTATGCAATAATAAAATTATCTGAATTATTAATTGAAATAAAATTTTAATATTATTAAAAACTGTTAATTGACTTGATAATTTATTAATAAAATAACATATTTCTTATGAAATTAGAAACCTTATATGACATAATATAATTTTGTTTATTTAACAAAATTAATTGAAAAAGTAAAATTTTTAACTGTTCACCTATACAATAATAAAATTATCTGAATTATTAATTGAAATAAAATTTTAACATTATTAAAAACTGTTAATTGACTTGATAATTTATTAATAAAATAACCTATTTGTTATGAAATTAGAAACCTTAGATGGCATAATATAATTTTTAGAACCACATGGGATAATTTATAATTTAAATAAAGCTCAAGAGGTGTGTTTATAATTTACTTAGAAATTTATAATTTTAATTATTAATATTATAATGATTTCCACCTATTGAAAATTACTTTTTCCTATCTTCAGGTTTATTTCCCCTATTTTATTTTCCCCCCACCCCCCACTCAATTGAATTTTTTTTGTATTAAAATTTTTTTAGTAAACCGTCAAGAGCTTCTAAACCATAAGAGCATCTAATTTTTAAGAGATGCCTTTAATTTCTACTTTCTAATTATTAACTTTTATTTCATAATAAATTACGGCAAACAATACCATTGTCCAGTTGTTTGCTTTCATTTTATTTTATTTTTTATTTTTTATTGTACTGGTTGAATTTTGTACTTGTTGAATTTTGTTTCCTGCCTTATTTAACTACTAGGCCAGCTCCACTGATTACAAATTTGCACACCACTGAGGACAGAGACTCTATAATGAGACCACAGTACGAACACTGGCATAAGCCAAAAAGTGGCGTTTTATACTTCACAGCCTGAAAAAAAATTCAACCAAAATAACAAGAGAGTTAATTTTAAAAAAAAAGAAAGGAAAAAGAAGACATACAGACACCAATCCAAGGTGGAGAATTGCAATCAAAATGACACTAATGTTAACAAATTCACATTACTGACACCCTCAAATAACATGGAGTAACATCAATCCAACAAAAATATAGAAGTCACTCAAGCCTATTTAACTATTAAGCCATCATCCTTTCCATAGGCATCTTGATAAAAACCTACTTCCATTGAGGATCTCAAATAGCCTGGGTCCATGCTATTCTACAGGATGCAACAATCACTGTTGGAGCTAGATGGCTCGCTTCTCTTTGCTTTGACAAATCTGTTTTAGTCTTGGCTTCGCATGCTTCCGTCTGTGTTTGGAGAGACCTAATGGGAACATTGTTCAATAAAGAAACAATTTCATTTAGGAAACAAAATGAATCACAATGATTCGAGTAAGTTGTAGAAATTTTTGTTAAGTATGCTTAGTTACTTACATGTATCCCTGTGATCAGTTTGTTTCAACATATGTATAACTGAAAGAGTAAATGAAATCATAGGAAAATAAATCCATAATACACCTCAATTTAAGGTGTATTATGGACTTATTTTTATGATTCGAACTGTCATTTTGTACGGTTTGTTGAGTACTTCATGTCTACCAAAAATCATATTAATCGGATATCAATAACTATATGATTGACAACCAAAAAAATAAACAATAAGTTTTTCTTTTGAGAAATAACATAAAAAATATGCAATTCGATCATATAATTATTGATATCCGATTAATATAATTTTTGGTAGGCATGAAATAATTAACAAACAAAAATAAGCTCATAATACACTTCAAATTGAAACACAACAGTCACTGTTGTGACTTTAACACAACCATGACACATTTCCCAAATAGTTACATGTGTGTGATCAACACCATAAGAGTTTCACCCATATGATACAAATATTGTGTAAAATATTTAATAATTTGCTTAGAGTAACAAATTTTTTTTTTTTTTTTCACCCACCTCCCACTTAATTATAATTTTCTTTTAAATTTTTAGCAATCCATCAAGAGCTTCTAGGGATATTGCCCAGTCGATTGCTATTTTTTTTTATTTTTTATTGTACTTGTTGAATTTTGTTGGGCTAATTTCAAATCAGTTGAGGTTTGGAAAAATATTTTAAGTTAATGATAAACTTCACAAATATTAAAAAGTAAAATTATAAACTATCTCATAAATTTGTAAATAGTTTTTGTAGTTTGCTTAAATTCCCCAATTTTGTTTCCTGCCTTGATTACAAATTTGCATTAGAGGATAGGGACTCAACACAATGAGACCACAGTACAAACAATATTATGGCATAAGCCAAAATGTTCCCTTTTGTACTTCTTAGCCTGAAAAAAAATTCAACCAGAATAAAAAGGAAGAAAAAGAAGACATACAGACACCGATTCAAAGTGGAGAAAAAACTTGCACATCATCACATAAATATCAAAACAAAAATGATTTACACTAAAAAGAGAGCTCTAATGGAGCACTAATTTGTCTTCTTCCTTCCCATTTTTTGTCTTTTACTTCACTGTTTGTTCTTTTTTTTTTTTTTAAAGGTGGACAGCTCATTAGAGCTGCACTGTAGCAGCTCTAATTAGAGCTCTACAGCACTTCTGATATCAAAATGACACTAATGTTAACAAATTCACATTACTGACACCACCACCAAATAACATGGAGTAACATCAGCCCAACAAAAATATAAAAGTCACTCAAGCCTATTCAACTAAGCCGTCATCCTTCCCACATGCATCTTGATAAATACCTACTTCCATTGAGGATCTCAAATAGCCTGGTGGCTCTCTGTCCACGTTATTCTACCGGATGAAACCATCACTCTTGGAGCTGAATGGTTCACTCATCCAACCTATATCTCTTTGCCTTTGACAAATCCGCTTTATTCTTGGCTTCGCATGCTTCCATCTGTACTTGGAGGGACCTAATAGGAACAAAAGAAACACTTCCATTCAGGAAACAAAATGAAAAAGGAACTTCACAATGATTCAGGTAAGTTGCATATTTTTTTTTAATTATGCTTAGTTACTTACATGTATCCCTATGGTCAGTTTGTTTCAACAAATGTATAACTGGAAGAATAAATGAAAGTACAAATGAAATCATGACAAAATGTCATAATGAATTTTTATTCAAGAAACAAACAAACAAAAAATATGCGTATAAACATTCACAACTTTGCAAAAAAAATATATAAAACATGTCTCAACTCAACCACGAGCCTATGGGCATCCGTAGTTTTCATTAAATTCAAGAACCAACAAAAAAAATTCATTTTTAATCACCTTCAGGAAACTTTCCCTGAAAATATTGATGCAGTGTCTTTGTCACATCGTTATTGTTTTCAAAAGCATTTAAAGCATCACATCCTGACCAACAAAATCATATAGGACATATATATTATTGGGAGAAATACGAAACAGTGATTCTTTGGGGAAAAAAAATTACGAAATCATAAAAAAGTTAAAATTTTTAATTATTAACATTTATAAGATTTACCATTGATTTGTAATAATTTTTTGAAAATACCACTGGTGATATTTCCCCTATATTATTTGGTGTTAGAAAGAAATATATGAGATGGAAGGAAAGACTGACAAAATGAAGAATGATAATATCAATCATCTTAATAGCAATCACTTGGTACAGAGCATCCTTACAACAAGAAACAATAGCCACAAGGAGCAGAAAACTCCACCTCATATAGTTTGAGGAACTAAAAAAGATAGGCCCTTGCAAAATTTTAGCTTACAGCAGTATGTTGAGATATCGTGCACTAGCCTTGTTCTTCTGTAGTTTGCAAAAGTTTTTGAAGTAACCATATCCTGACCAATTGAATCGTCTATATATATAATTAATTTGGTGTTCGAAAGAAAATTATGAGATGGAAAGAAAGACTGACAAAATGAAGATGATAAACTCAATCATCTTCAAAATCTAACCAACCACCATGTGGTTGACAGATTTACTTGCAGTTGGCCAAAAACGAAAAAAAAAAAATCGGCATGGTGAAAAATGATTCATGTAGCTAACCACACTAGATTGAGATTTGGGACACAACACTTAGTTTGGTTTGGCCTTGAATTGCGTCAATTCTACCTTATTTTGTTTATCTGGCTCTCTCTATCTGACAATTGAAGCAAGCACACCAACCATGGGAATTTGACCCTAGCCACTTGAATACATTTAAGCCAAAATTCTATGTTAAAAATATAAACTCACACTGTTCTACTTAACATCAATAAAAAAGAGACAACGAAGCAGCAAAATAGACATAGAAGTAAAATGGAATGACAAAAGACGGTTTAGTTCAATCATTCATGTTGCCTACCTAGTAGTAATCTTTTATGAGATGCTGGGCATTGGCTGCATGGGCTCTTGATCATATTGCTGCAATTGGGTGAAACAAGGCTCTCAACATAAGTTTCGACACTAAAATGATTTAGCCTGCCTCGAACCACTAGTTCCTTAGATTTCTTCTCTTGCGGATTGTAGAAGACTAGCTTATTTGCATGCATATCCAACAAAAATTCGCCAGTGGTTTATAAACACAGCGGCCTCCAAAAGAAAAATCACTAAAATCGATTGTAATTTTAGTCCAAGAATCCCTTACACCATAATCTTTCATCACCCAAACATCTTTACGATCATCATCATGAGAAACAAGTAGATATAGGCACCCTCGAACAACACAAAGCTCGGGATATAGGTTCAATTCATTATCAGAAGAACAAGGAGATGGCAAATGCTGAAAATTTTCGTCTCGTAAATCAAGTAAAGCAATTACATCCGCCTTATTTGAATGCACGCGACTACTCACTAACCAGTGGAGAGCCCAACTAATTAGAATCCCCGGTGAAGACCCGTAAGCAAATAAGGACAATCCTTAATCCTTCTCCATGAATTGGTTCTTAGATTATACACAGTGACTATGTTATCAACAATATTGCAATCATATTCATAATGAGAAATCCTCACAACTTTGTAATCATAATCAAACCCATAACTATCTAAACAATATTTATACTCAATTGAAAAAGGAGATTTGGGTAATTTTCTAGATTGTCTAGTAGATGGGTTCACCAAAAAGTAAGAGTTATAGTGATTGAGCATCAATAAAAAGCTATCACAGGAACCAGAAATCTCCCTACAATTAGGGTTTTGGTTTGGGGGGGAATTTGAGGCGAACGGCCACGAAATCGTCGCGGAATTGGAATGATTTGAAATCCACGGATTGGAAAATGCAGGATCTAGAAACGAGAATGAATCGCTTGTGTTTGTTTTCGTTGTTGGTGTTGCGAGTGAGTTTGAGGTGGGTTTTGATGAAATGACGATCGGAGAAGAGATAGAGCCATGGCTTTGAAATGCACCGCAATCAGTTGAAGCTTCTCAAATGGCAATGCCGAACCTTCCAGAAGAGATCATCCTTGACATACTCTTGAGACTCCTAATCACCTCTCTAGGTGCGTTTCGAAACCATGGCTCTGTCTCTTCTCCGATCGCCATTTCATCAAAACCCACCTCAAACTCACTCGCAACACCAACAACAAAAACGAACACGAGCGATTCATTCTCGTTTCTAGATCCTACATTTTCCAATCCGTGGATTTCAAATCATTCCAATTCCGCGACGATTTCATGGCCATTCGCCTCAAATTCCCCCCCAAACCAAAACCCTAATTGTAGGGAGATTTCTGGTTCTTGTGATGGCTTGTTATTGATGCTCAATCGCTATAACTCTTACTTTTTGGTGAACCCATCTACTAGACAATCTAAAAAATTACCCAAATCTCCTTTTTCAATTGAGTATAAATATTGTTTAGATAGTCATGGGTTTGATTATGATTCCAAAGGTGTGAGGATTTCTCATTATGAATATGATTGCAATATTGTTGATAATATAGTCACTGTGTATAATCTAAGAACCAATTCATGGAGAAGGATTAAGGATTGTCCTTATTTGCTTACGGGTCTTCACTGGGGATTCTAATTAGTTAGGCTCTCCACTGGTTAGTGAGTAGTCACGTGCATTCAAATAAGGCGGATGTAATTGCTTTACTTGATTTACGAGACGAAAATTTTCGACATTTGCCATCTCCTTGTTCTTCTAATGATGAATTGAACCTATATCCTGAGCTTTGTGTTGTTCGAGGGTGCCTATATCTACTTGTTTCTCATGATGATGATCGTAAAGATGTTTGGGTGATGAAAGATTACGGTGTGAGGGATTCTTGGACTAAAATTACAATCGATTTTGTTATTTTTCTTTTGGAGGCACCACTGACGAATTTTTGTTGGATATGCATGAAATAAGCTAGTCTTCTACAATTTGCAAGAGAAGAAATCTAAGGAACTAGTGGTTCGAGGCATGCTAAATCATTTTGGTGTCGAAACTTATGTTGAGAGCCTTGTTTCACCCAATTGCAGCAATATGATCAAGAGCCCACGCAGTCAATGCCCAGCATCTCACAAGGCAACATGAATGATTGAACTAAACCGTCTTTTGTCATTCCATTTTACTTCTATGTCTATTTTGCTGCTTCGTTGTCTCTTTTTTATTGATGTTAAGTAGAACAGTGTGAGTTTATATTTTTAACATAGAATTTTGGCTTAAATGTATTCAAGTGGCTAGGGTCAAATTCCCATGGTTGGTGTGCTTGCTTCAATTGTCAGATAAAATAAGCTAGTCTTCTACAATTTGCAAGAGAAGAAATCTAAGGAACTAGTGGTTCGAGGCATGCTAAATCATTTTGGTGTCGGAACTTGTGTTGAGAGCCTTGTTTCACCCAATTGCAGCAATATGATCAAGAGCCCACGCAGTCAATGCCCAGCATCTCACAAGGCAACATGAATGATTGAACTAAACCGTCTTTTGTCATTCCATTTTACTTCTATGTCTATTTTCCTGCATTGTTGTCTCTTTTCTATTGATGTTAAGTAGAACAGTGTGAGTTTATATTTTTAACATCGAATTTTGGCTTAAATGGATTCAAGTGGCTAGGGTCAAATTCCCATGGTTGGTGTGCTTGCTTTAATTGTCAGATAGAGAGAGCCAGATAAACAAAATAAGGTAGAATTAACACAATTTAAGGCCAAACCAAACTAAGTGTTGTGTCCCAAATCTCAATCTAGTGTGGTTAGCTACATGAATCATTTTTCACCATGTCCATTTTTTTTTTTTTTCGTTTTTGGCCAACTGCAAGTGAATCTGTCAACCACATGGTGTAGTTGGTTAGATTTTGAAGATGATTGAGTTTATTATCTTCATTTTGTCGGTCTTTCTTTCCATCACAAAATTTTCTTTCTAACACCAAATTAATTATATATATAAACAAGGCTAGTGCACGATATCTCAACATGCTGCTGTATGCTAAAATTTTGCAAGGGCCTATCTTTCTTAGTTCCTCAAACTATATGAGGTGGAGTTTTCAGCTCCTTGTGGCCATTGTTCCTTGTTGTAAGGATGCTCTGTACCAGAGTTGGCAATGGCATAATCTAGAAATTTTCATCTGCCAAATGAAATGTAGCAATAACATCCAAATTATTCGAATCCTTAGTTAACCAATGGAGAGAGCCACTAACAAAAATACCCGATGGGCATTTGAATATAAAAGGGTTACCCGGATAAGAATAATCCTCAATCCTTCTCCATGAATTGGTACTTTTTGCATACACACTGACTATATTACTATCAGTACAATCAGATATACAGAAATAATGAGAAATTCTCACAACTTTGTAGTCATCATTCGATGAATCATAGCCAAGTGCCTAACTATCACAATAAAATTTATAACAAAATGTAGACTTTTTTGAAAAAGGTGAATTGGGTATTTTTCTAGACTGTCTAGTAGATGGGTTAACCAAAAAGCAAGAGCGACCGTTATGGAGCATCAGTAACAAGCCATTACACGAACCACGCAAAGACCAGCGACCATGATTAGGGTATTGATTTGGTGGGAATTTTAGATGCAGAGCAGCCAATGAATCGTGGCTGAATTGGAACGATTTGAGAGGGACGGAATAGAAATCGAGAGAGTTGGATAGGAGAATGAGGTGGGTTTTGATGAAGTGAGGGTTGGAGATTAGAGAGAGCAATGGTTTCGAAACAGACCTGAATCGGCAGAGAGTGGTGATGGGGAGTCTCGACAGTATTTCGATGATAATCTCTTCGGAAAGGTTCGCCATTGTCGTCTCGTGAGAGCTTCAGAGGTGTTGAGAGACGTGATAGTCTGTTTCCCTTGTTCAATCTTGTATATGCATTTAAATTAGGGTTATCGCACTGTCGTCCTCAATGTCAGACTCTGGGAGCAGGAAGGCTATTTGAGATAACCTAAATAAATATATTTTTAAATTTTTATAAAAATGTATATAAAAGGATATAAATGTAGCGTGATTTAAATAAGTGTATTTATTTAAAAGTATTTTTATTAGTTTATCTAAATTTTATCTTAAAATATTATTAAAAAATATATTTTTTATTGTAGAAATTATTTTTTCATCTACCTTCCCAACAAATTCTTTTTTCTTTTTCTATTATATTAAAATAATCTTCTTAATTGTTTTTAAATTTGAATATTTTTTAATAATAAAATAATTAAACAGCATAAATAAAGTAAAAAATGGAGGTTCAAAGGCAACTCCATATTTCTTGCTATAAAATTAAATAATTACAAAAGAAAACAGTAGAAGCCAAGGTTAGATGTTCGGGAGGTCGACCGGCTGGATGTTTGGGTGGATAACTGGCGAAGTAAGTTTTACCCAGATCACTTCATTTGGGATAGGGGTGAGTAGCAGATATACCGATCCGCGTAAACTGATTGAACTGAACAAATCCGTCGTATTTTGAACGGATGCATGATAACGAGCGGATAGTTGAAGATTGATTTTTTTTCTAATCCGCCTAGTTTTGGACGGATGACGGATTTGAGATTCCTTTGGCCACAACCGAACCGCCAAATCGCAAGCACCTCTAGTAATTTATAAGATTTTATATTTTTAATTTATTTAGATATTCTAATTATATTTTCAATTGACAAATAGTTTAAATATTTTGTTGAATATATTCTGTTGAAAAAGAGTTTTCAACTTGAATATATCTTTTGAATTGAAAAAAATTTATGTATTATTTATCTATATTTTTTGATTTTTAAATCTAACTTTAAAAATAAAAAATAAAAAATATGATATATGCTGGTTATTTTTGATTTTCAAAAACAGATATAAATATAACAATGTAGAGACATACAATATCTATTACTGCTTTGTTCATGATTTTGGTGGTTTGAATTGTTTTTATATTTTAAGAACAACAGATTGTAATACTTTATGTGGATGAGGCATGTTGTAATGGTAATATGTAGATGAAACATGCAGTAATTGTAATATTCTAAAGTTTCAAATTTTTTTCTTTGGATGAGGCATGCAGTGATTGTAATACTTTTTTAAGTCATTGACTATAATACTTTTTTTTTTTTTTTTTTACTGAAGTGCACAAGTTGAATTATGTTGAAAATTTATAAAATTTTAAACGGCCAAACCGATTTGCATTCATCCGCCAATCTGCTCAATCCACATTCATCCCAATCCACATTCGTCGGATTGGCGGACGAATGCGAATTGATTTTCTCTAATCTACCAATCTGGCGGATAGATGACGGATTAGAGGTTTCGTGGCTACAACCAACCCGTGTCCACCCCTAATTTGGGACATCTGAGTAGATGACCACTGTCAGATATGAGAGAGCTACAGTGACTCCTTACAAATAGAAAGTGACTGTAGCAATCATAAATTTAAGAGGTTGTATAAGGGATCTGGTGAAGAAGGATTTTTGAAGAATCAACCCCTTATAAGGGATCTGCTAAGGATGCTCTGAATAAGTGCACTTATGTCCATCATATCAAACAACCTTAAAAGTGGAATGGACTTCTCTCCTATCCTTAATCGGACAAGAGATACGTTGTAAGGTCTATTTGGCCTATTTTTGGGTCATGTTTTAATACTCTGAATTATTCATATTTTTAGAATTCATGAATCAAGTTGATTGGATAACGATAAGTGTTCGGATTAATTTTATATGAATTTTTTTTTACTGTTCATTTTTTTAATACAAAACTGATCTGAACATATAGTTATCGTTATTCCATTGACTTAATTTTTTGCAAGGATGATATACTCGACGAATACTAAAATATGAACTGCTCGAATTATTAAAACAGAACCTACAAATGAATTTAATAGACCTAACAACATATCTATAGTTCGATTATTGACGAGAGAGAAGCCAGCCCAAACTAAAGTCCCTTTTTTTCTTTTGCTTTATTTTATTTTTTTTTACTTTTCATGTTCCAAAAAAAAAAAAAAATAGTAAAGACAATTTTTTTTTTTATATATATTTTTTCTAGTTAAGTAGAACATAAAATGAAATGATTTTTGAATATTTTTTTATAAATAAATAAAAAGTCATTGAAAAGGAAAAATAAATAAATAAGGCACTAAAAAAGATAATTTCAAACATTCAGAGTATATTTGTTTACCTTTAATGGTGACCTGATTCGATTTACAATTCAATAAGATTCACATAATTTGTTTGGTGATTAAACAAATAGTCTTATTGAACTATAAATCCCCCTAATGGTGAAAATCATATATTTTTACCATTTAATATGTTAGTTTAGATATATTTTCTTACCACATTTTATTTAAAATAAACCATACTTTCTTATTACATTTTATTTGTCAACACAACATAGTGGATTAAACCAATAAAATTATTAATATATAAAGTGATAAACAAATTTTGAGAAAAGAAAACTATCATTCTAACATTATTGTTACTTTATAAAGAAACAAGTCAGATCTTCCAGTAATATTTATGACTATAATTTTCCATTTATATGCTTTAAAAAAATTATTGGTAGAAATAAAAACTCATTTGATGTTTATTTTTGTTTTTTTTTTTAAAAAAAAAACTATAAACAATTTATAAAATTTAAAAAATTCTAGTTTAAAAAATTATTTTTACTTGTTTTGAGAACAAATTTCATCACTTCTTCCTTCCCCACGCCTTCGGCCACCACACCTGGCCCATCACCATCTTTGGCTTCCCCTATCTACGGCCACCATCACCAACAAACACTGCCAGTGAGTCCTCCCACCTACAACAACCATCAACTACATCTCATCGTGCAACAACCACTGCCACCAACATTCTCCTTTTTGTATAATTTACTTTTAGTGAATAAATAATCTTTACTAAACATTTTCCTCTTCTTTATTTTCTAGGCAAAAAAAAATTATTGGTAGAAATAAAAACTCATTTGATGTTTATTTTTGTTTTTTTTTTAAAAAAAAAAAACTATAAACAATTTATAAAATTTATAAAATTCTAGTTTAAAAAATTATTTTTACTTGTTTTGAGAACAAATTTCATGACTTCTTCCTCCCCACGCCTTCGGCCACCACACCTGGCCCATCACCATCTTTGGCTTCCCCTATCTACGGCCACCATCACTAGCAAACACTGCCAGTGAGTGCTCCCACCTCCAACAACCATCAACTATCTCCTATCACCCGCAACCACTTCCATCAACACTCTCCTTTCTGTATAATTTACTTTTAGTGAATAAATAATCTTTACTAAACATTTTCCTCTCCCTTATTTTCTAGGCAACCAAAAGATAACAGAAAATAAAAGTTTATAATGTTTGACTGGTGACAACTGCTTGAGGCCTCATGCTCAGACTGTAAACTTGGATTTTGTGTTGTTACTCCTTTTGAAAGCGGAAGAATATGTAACAATTCACAGAATCACAAACAGAAAAACTGACTCCGTTTTAACTCCAATTCCTGAATAATTAAAATATTGCACTTCTGTGATTCAGAAAATTGGGAACATCTCCACCAACTGGCATTGCTCCAAACCAATATGAGTTCACATGTTTATGTGGTTTCCAAATATACGTACAATGACAGACGGACACATGAAGAACTATAGATATCAATGGCACTAGTGAAAATGCAAAATAAAAATTCTTTCGGCTATTTGACAGTCCATAACATGAACAACAATACAAAAGCATGCCATAATCAACCAAAGCTACTATCTATATTCACCATCAGAACAGTGTGACAGAAACTCAATATCATAGAACTATAAATATCAATGAAAGCTCTACACCCAAAACCTCTTCCATCAATCAATCATCTTGATGAAATACTTTTCCCTCGAGAATGGATCATCAATATCCTCAAGGCCTTCTAAAAATAGCCCAGATCTCGGATCTTCACTTGTAGCAGCATGTTATATTGAATTAGCCATGTGCAATCTGTAGTTCTCAATAAATTCCAGTAACCAAAAAAGTAATAACTTTTTTCCTGAAATATTCATGCAATTTCTTTGCCACTTTGTTTTCAAAGGCCTTTAAAGCGTCACATCCTAACCGACAGAATCATAAGGGAAATATAAATATAAATATATATATATATATATATATTATTTGGAGTTGGAATGATAAATGTGAGATGGAAAGGAAGATTGACAAAATGAAGATGACTGCATCAATCATCTTCAAAATCTAACCAACTCTATAATGTTTGCCAGATTCATTTGCAGTTGACCAAAAACAAACAACAAAACGGGTGTGATAGGTTACCAATAATATCAACCTAAAGCATAACCAAAAATAAACTGGAAAGAAAGGCCTTAAACCTCTCTCTGTGAGGATTAAAGACCAGCACACCAATCTTGCAAAATTTGACCCCAGCCACTTAAGCCAAAGATGTATAATCAAAATATATAAACACACTCCATACAACATAACAAATTAAATTTACACCGTCATAATAACGTAAAGGAAAAAGAGACAACAATAGAGCAACATAGATAGATAAAAGTATAATGAAAAATATGTAAGTTGATCCATGATACCTATACAGTACTAATATTGATGCTTGCTATTGCCTTATGATCATATTGCTGCAATTGGGTGAAACAAGGCTTTCCACGTAAGTTTTTGCTACAAAATTATTTGGACAGGCTCGAACCACAAGTCTCTTAATTTTTTTCTCTTGTGGATTGTAGAAGATTAACTTTTTTTGACAAATCCCCAACAAAAATTCACCAGTCTTTGATAAACACAACGCTTTGCACAAAGGAAAACAACCATGATTGATTGTAAATTTGGTCCAAGAATCCTTCACACCATACTCTTTCATCACCCAAACATCTTTACAACCACCACAGCGAGAAACAAGTATACAAAGGCACCCTCCAAGAACACTGAGCCCTTCAAATAAAACAAAGTCATCAACAGGAGAT